GGCAGCGGCTAGAGGAGTGCCAGGGACGTATGGGGAGACATTGAGTTGTTGGGCTTCAGAGCAGGGTGGAGGGACGGCTTTCTCACAGAAAGAAGTGCTGGCAGAGGGCACTGTTCCTTGGTTGAGCCCTTCCCACTCCCAGTGCGCAGATGCAGATGGGTGCCATATCTGGGTCTCCATCGACCTAGATAACACTGGTTACCCACCCAGGTGATTCTGAGACCCCGCTCCACCCAACGTGCAGGGCCATTCAAGCTGCCTTTTAGAGGTTGGCAATTTAGAGGATGGGGTAGAAGAAGACACCCAATCAGAACAGCAAAAAGAAAACAGAATCCAAAAAAATGAGGATGGTTTAAGGCGCCTATGGGACAACATCAAGCTACCAACGTTTGCATCATAGTAGTAACAGAAGGAGAGAGAGAGAGAGAGAGCAAGGAATTGAAAACTTAAATGAAGAAATAATGACTGAAAACTTCCCTAACTTGATAAAGGAAATAGACATACAAGCCCAGGAAGCTCAGAGATTCCCAAAAAAGATGAACAGGCCCACACCAAGACACATCATAATAAAAATGCCAAAGGTTAAATACAAAGAGAGAATTTTAAATGCAGCAAGAGAAAAGTAGTTAGTTGCCTACAAGGAAGCTCCCATAAGACTGTTAGCCAATTTCTCAACAGAGACTGGTAGCCAATTTCTCAACAGAAACCTTGCAGGCCAGAAGAAGCTGGCACAAAATATTCAAAGTGATGAAAAGCCAGGACCTACAACCAAGATTACTCTACCCAGCAACGTTATCATTTAGAATCAAAGGACAGATAAAGAGCTTCCCAGATAAGAAAAAACTAAAGGAGTTCATCGCCATCGAGCCAGTATTATAGGAAATGTTAGACGGATTTAAGAAAAAGAAAAAGTATGTATCAAAAATATGAATAAAGTGACAATAACTACATATCTATCAACACGTACTTCAAATGAAAAAGAATTAAATGCTCCAATCAAAAGATAGGGTGGCTAAATGGATAAGAAAACAAGACCCTTTCATAGGCTGCCTACACGAGACACGCTTCAGATTAAAAGACACACACAGACTAAAAGTAAAGGAATGGGAAAAGATATTTTATAACGGACCTTGAGGGTACTGTGCTGACTAGAGTATGTCAGATAAAAGAAAGAAATGACAATATGATTTCATGCACATGTGTAACCTAAAGAATGAAATAAACAGAAAATGGACAAACTCACAGATACAGAGAACATTTTGAGGGTTATCAGATGAGAGAAGTTGGGGGGAAGTTAAAAAGGGAGAAGGGATTAAGAAGTAGAAATCGGTAGTTACAAAAACGGTCATGGAGATACAAAGTATAGCATAAGAAATACAGTCAATAATATTGTAATAACTATGTATGGTGTCAGAGGGCTACTAGATTTATTAGGGTGATCACTTTGTCAGTTGTATTGATGTCTAATCACTATGTTGTACACCTGAAACTAATATAGCTGTATGCCAACTATAATTGAAAAGTAAAAAACATTATTAAAAAATAATAAAATTAAAAAAGCAATTTAAGAAATTACTATTCGTTTGTCAATTGCTGAGAAGATGGTTCACCAGTTGCCAAAAGCAGTTTTAGTATTTTAGTCATTTTCTCCTTTCGGTGACACATTATTGGCTATTGACATAATGGGATATTTAAAATCTATATTCTGAATGTCTTTTCTATTATTTAAGAAGTGTTTCAGAAACCGAATAAGACACTTGGTAAGGCACTCTTACCTTGACAATATCTGGATTATTGGCTAGTCTTAGTACTTTGCAGGCCTTTGCTAATCCAATCCCACGCAGTGACGAGAGATAGTCACAGCCTGAAAGAATGCACATGTAACGGAACTTCTCTTCTGTGAACACATCCCCAAGCTGCCTGCACATTCCGAGCCGAGCCTGATCAATTTCCAGTCCATTTCCAAACTGGTCCATTTTTAAAATCACCTTCAAAAAGAAGGGAAATCGTTAATACCGATGAGGGTCATTTTTATTTTTCATTATCTAATTCATTGTAACATTTTGAAGAAATCCTTCTTGTTCTTCATCATGACAGTGAGAGAGAGGCTCGTGCTAAATTTGGAAGAAAATGAAACTGAGGATAGGCTGTGACTCGGACATGAGGAATACGTTTTCTGCATCTCTTCCTGCTTATGCCACAGGGTCGTCATGGTGATCCAACAGCAATTCATACAGAGAGCATTTCCCCTTACTTCTCACTGTGACTTTTTTTCAAAAGTAACCCTTTTTCTCATTCCTAAAGTATTACATGTTCATTGTAGAAATTTTGGAAAACACAGAAATTCATAAATAATAAACAAGTTTCCGAAATCTCTCATCTTTCACTGTTACCCAGCATTAACCTTTGACATAGATCCTTCTAGTCATCTATGACGTATATAATATAAATAACATAGATATTAACAAAAATGAGATCACTCTATACTTTTGTATCTTAACTTTCCCCTTAATATGTCATAAAATTTTCCATTAATTTTATACATAATTCTAAATAACTACAGAGTATCCCATTAGTAGATAATTTACCCAACCTAACTGAAAAATATAAAGCATATAAGTTACCATTATTAAAACATAAGACCCGTAAGTCTACATTCTACCAAAGAATTTGACCAAAACAACAACAAAATGCTCTAACCTTAAGGGCTTACTCTGAAAAAGCACCTGGATGATACAAATGTCAAGCAGCAAAACACTTCATTTAAAATAATTATTAGCACTGTAAGTAGATATTAATTGCAGATATTAAATATTACTGGAGAGGAAAAAGTTTAGCCTCTTGATTTACATGATTTAAGTACCTTTTTACAGCCGAAAGCGAGCAGATCAGAGTCCTCTGTAATTATAGCTTGTACAATACCAGCTTTATTAAGATAGGCCAACTGTGCATCCGCTTCGTAAGGTGCCACGAGACAATCTACTCCCTGAGACCGAGCAGCCTGTGAGAGACCATCACAGTCAATCTACAGAACTGGAAAGAACTAAACAACCTCCCGTTTCAAATCCATTTTATTAACAGCCTCATCATGCACACACTAATATTATTTTTCAAAAATCATTTCTTTTGAAGTATGTTTTTCTACTTTTAGTCTTAGCGTATATTGAACAAATCAATATAGCCACCAAGAGGTTTCTTTTTAAAAAATCAATTTATAAATGTGGAGAAAAGAAATACTGCTATACATTTGGGGGAGGGAGGCAAAAAACTACAAACTACAAAAGTTAATTATTTCAAGTTATAGAAAGTTTCTACCTTAAGGATGGCTATGTTCCAAAAGTATACAAGACATGTGTTTGGAGCTTTGAATATATTTTCCTCACAAAGTAACAGGTTCTCTTGTCAAATTACAAAAGTCTATCTGACAGTGAACTGATAAACTACAGAATCTAATCACTATATTTATCCTCCCATTTGTTTATTGAAATGGGGAAGTGAGGGCAGGGATTGTGGGCACATGGACACTAACATTCACAGTGACAAAAAAGCAGCTTCTGAGCAGAGTAGATCAAGCAGCCTAGACACCTACAGAGCTCCTGAGTCCCCAGGCTGCTTCCTCAGACCTCTGACAGTTGTCCGAGGGGGCAGGCTGGGTGAGTGGTGAAGACTACATGAGAGTGGGGTGGGAGTGAACCCCAGGAATGCATCCCTTCTAGCTCTACGGACAGGATAGCATGCTGATGGAGTTTATCTAAATGAGTTATCTAAAAAGGGGGAGCTTTGCTTATTCCTTAGGCTTTCTCCCTTGGAAACTGTTGAACTCCTCTATCTAAAGATAATGTTCCCTCTTCCTCTGCCATCTGCCCTCTCCTGGAGGTTTGGTCTACGATCATTTTCCCCCCTTCATTCTCTCTCATTAATAAACAAGTTACAATCAGCATAAATGACCTTAGCCATCTGCTGCTCTGGCTGTATTCCTCGTCCAGCTTACCGTACCTTGATCACTCGGTGGGCCATAGCGTGCGTGATGTTGATGGAACGGGCGAAACACTCTCTGGCCTCTGAGACTTTCCCCTCACGGAGAAGCTGCTTGCCTTTAAGAAGATTGGCTTGTCGTCTTCTGCAAAGGAAAAAAATTAAGAGGCTGACTCGAGAAATTGTAATAAAACTATAATTCAAGAAATTTTCCTAGAATAAAGAAAAGTTTGACTCATTTGAAAGTGCAAGAATAATAAAGCTGGTATTGCACAAGCTACGACTACAGAGGACTCTGATCTCCTTTCTATGAGCTGCTCTGAAATCTAATAGACAATAAACTTCAGAAAAAACAAAATTACATGAGAGGCACTGGTATAAAGACTGTTAGTAATCATGAAACATGATAATTTGTAGAATGAAGACTAAATAAGGGTTAAATAGGGAGAGAACAATAGCTATGTGCTCTGATGGGTTAGTACCACTATTTTTTAAATGGGGACAGAGAGAGCATATGCTAAAGAAAAGGAATGAAATTTTAACTATTTGCAATAATCGTATCGGTAGTGGTAGTATTAGTATTTTATTTTGAATCCACTATTGAGTATAATGTGGGAGAAAATAAATGAGTACAGTAGTCCTCCCTTATCCCCAGTTTCGTTTTTCACAGTTTCAGTTACCCACATTCAAATGTGGACCCAAAATATTAAATAGACAATTCCAGAAATAATTCACAGGTTTTAAATTGTGCGCCTTTCTGAGTAGCATAATGAAACCTCAATGCCGTTCTGCTCCTTCCTGCCCAGAACATGAATCATCCCTTTGTCTAGTGTCTCCACTTCACTTCATCTCATCGCTTGGGCACTGTGTCATCTCACATCACAAGAAGGATTAGAGTACACTGAGCTATTTTGAGAGAGACAGACCACATTCATATAACTTTTATTACAGTATGTTGCTACGATTGTTATGTTTCATTAATAGTTATTGCTGTTAATTTCTCACTGTGCCTAATTTATGAATTAAACTTTATCGTAGGTATGTGTGTATGGGAACAAACAGTATAACAGGACTCAGTTCTCTCCGGGGTTTCAGGCATCCACTGGGGATCTTGGAATGTATCTCTCGTGGATAACAGGAGAACTACTATAATTAAAAGATACTCTAACTTTATCATGCCCTTTACACTTAAAAACAAGGAATCTCTGGAAGGAAGGAGGGAGATACAGATGAAATACAGAAATTAAGTAAAAATCCTGTACCCTGAATTTGAATTGGAAGTTATCGGTCTAAACTCATGAGGTTTTTTAAGTAAATGCATGTATATATACGCACACAAATCCCCTAGTTCCACTTTTAGACTGGGCTCCACAGATGAGAAGACTTTGTAGAAAAGGATTATAAAGGCCCCTCCCAGAGGAAGCTGATCCCGCAGAGAGAAGACAGAAAGAGCACTCAGGCTAGATTCACACAGTGGAAACCCTCTTTAGCCATTCTTGAGATTAGCAAGAGGAAAATCTGTCACTGTCTGTGACTAGAATTAAGAACATGATGGGGTATGCCCAGGTGGGGTGTCGTTGGAATCAGTCCCTTAGCCACACTGGTTTAGGGTTGTCACCAATCCTTTTAGAACTAAACCGGAACTAATCAACATTTCATCAAAAGTATATTTAGTAAACTATGTTATTCATACTAGGTCTTGGTCTCAGTTAATCTTTTCTTTTTTTAATTAAATTTATTGTGGTGACATTGGTTAATAAAATTATATAAGTTTCAAGTATACAATTCGAAAATGAGAAATATGTACATATGTTCACCGCCCTGTTATAAGTTTCAAATATACAATTCAATAATGAGAAATATGTACATATGTTCACCGCCCTGTTAATCTTTTAATAAGCTTTATGAAGTTTTGATTTGAAGAATCAGACCCTCTAGGTACAGCTAGACTGAAAAACCTAGGCCTGAAGAACCCTCTCTCTGAGGCTGGACCAGAAGCACCTCTTAAAAAATGCTCCCACAGAGAGGCTTACTTCTCTTTGGGTGTAATTCACACTGCCTTTCACAGCTATGCCCACTGGTCTTTCCTATGCAATACAATGACTCCTGGATCTAAAAGCTAATATAGGGGGAAAAAAGAAGAGATGAATGTGGTGGAATAGTGGTTTCATTAAATACAGAATGTCTTTCTAAAGTCCATTATTGTAAAATGACTAGATTCTATTAAGTTAAACATGAATGATGAAATTTCTAATATAACTATTGAAAGAACAGAAATAGAATGCATCACTTTTCAACTAGATACAAGAGACAATATAATAAGGGTGGAAAAAAACAATCAATCTAGAAGTGAAGCAAGGTAGGAGTTACCCCCCCCCAAAAAAAAGAAAAAGAAAGGTGAAATAAATATAAAACATCAAGAGAAATAATAAGTCAAAATATATTAGTAACTAATGATCATTGTAAAATGAATAAAATTTTCTATTGAAAAGATTATTAAAATGGCTAAGATTGACAGAATGGATAAAAACAAATACAGTGATGTGTTCTTTATAGGAGACAAACATAAAAACCAATAACAGTAACGCTGAAGGTTAACAGAAAGATGCTAAGAATAAACACAAGAGAGTTATTATGAATATGCTAATATCAGACAGAACAGTTTTCAGAAAAAAGCATAAACAGAGTCACTACATATTGTTTCATTTCACTACAAAAATGTAAGATTCTAAACCTGAATGTAACCAATAAAATAGCTTCAAAATAAAGCAAAAAATTGACATAACTGTAAGGTAATTAACAAACCCACTATCAGTGAAATTTTAACATACTTTCCTCAGTAATTGATGAATTAAGAAGACACACATAAAAAAATAAAAATAAAAAGCCAGTAAAGATATGGAATTTTTTTTTTTATTATTATTTATGCCTACAGCACCTGGTCTTCCTAGGTGGTCTCCCATCCAAGTATTAACCAGCCCCAACCCTGCTCAGCTTCCGAGATAAGACACTGGGCTTGTTCAGGGTGGCATGGCCATAGACCATGGACCGTGGCTCCACTGGGGTGCAAACCCAGGACTTTCTGCATGTAAAGCAGATGTGCTAATCACTACACTATGGAACCACGTCTAGATGTGGGAAATTTGAACACCACAATCAATAAGCTTAATTTACTAGACAGACGAAATCTTTCACTCAATAACTGGACAATGCACATTCCTTTCTGGCATGCATGGAACATGTAAGGAAATTTATTCATGTACGAGGGTATAAACAATCTCAACAAACTAAAATGAAAATATTTAGTATTATACAGACCACAGCATCAGACCTTAATGCAATTAAGTCAGATTAATCAGAGGCAACTTACTCTCTTCTAGACTTCTCCACTTCCTTTTTAGAAGGTAAAGTGCATCCGTCAAATACAAGAATAGGCTTGATCCCGTGAGACAGTAACATATTTACAAATTTCATACAAAATCCTACATACCTATGACAATAAAGAAAACATATTTAAGTGTTTTGCATCTTGTAAAATAATACTTTTGCGCTTTTTAAAAACAGGTGAAACAGATTATGAAAAGAGGTTGTTTTTTAAGTAAATGTTTTTATAGGAAATGGAAACTAACTGGGACTTGGGTTCAAACCCTGCCTTGGACCCTAATGGACTATATGACATTCAGTGAGTTACCTGACCCTCCAAGCCTTGCTTTCTTCATCTGTAAATTAAAAGGCTTTATGGTTCCAAATCTTGCCTTTTCTCCCCATTTTTTTGCTTGGAAAAATTTCAAATCTATTGAATAGATGAAAGAATAATACAATACATACCTGATTCCTCCAACAATACCATTATCACACCCAAGACATCTAATATATAGCCTATATTAAAATCTGCCCAATTGTCCTAATGTTTCTTATGATCAGCGGTGTCCCGGTAAACATTCAACAACCAGTTCTAGGGGGAAAGGGACCTGACCTATAGCACCTGTCAACGTCCTTGACGTGAATATTCTGCAGTGATGGATACACTACTGACGTGGGCTCGCTGAACTAGGAGACAGTGTATAGTAAACACGCACCTGTCGGCTCCAACACAGCACTGCTGTGACTATCCCCCCACCCCTGTGCCGGAGTCAAACAAGGATCACATACTGAATTTAGGTTTTTATTTTGGCAAATCAAATAACAAACGGAATTACAACTCTCATGATTTCATTAAGAGATTTTAACTCAAAATAGGAACAGAAAGGCGTAGAATTACAACTCTCACGATTTCATTAAAAAAAGAGATTTTAACTCAAAATAGGAACAGAAAGGCGTGATCTTAAAAGGTAATCATTAAAATCAAGTATATTCATCTTAATGAAAGATTCACTACACTGCCCTTATTATTTTTTTATTGTAAACCAGTGACGATGGGCCTACTGGTTTATAGAACAGTCATTGTGACCAATGATTAAATACCATGTAAAAATAGGAGAAAGCAAATATAAAATTGCAATGAATTTTAAAGAAAATTTTTTTTTAATAAACTAGACAAAATAAAAACAGATACCTGGTGCCTTCATTTCATATATTTCAGACATCTTTCCAGCTCAGCACATATAGATCTACCTTATTCTTTATAATGGTCATAAAGGTTTGTCATAGGCTTATCCTAATTTTCTGATCTTTTCTGGTTAATATTCCCATACAAAGGTAGATAAGAAAAGAAAAATAAACTCTATCGAATGTGACTTATTAGTTGCCATAGGAAAAAAAATAAAATACACAATACTTTGTTGAAAGTACTGAAACTTTTTAGTTCAATAAACAGTTGCTGAATGCCAGCTACACGGCAGGTCCTACAGAGTCTCTGACATCTCTAACGATAAAGGATATTCCCTGTACTTTGGATAACTCTTCCAAAGGCAAAAAATCTTAGAATCCTCAAGAACTACAAGAAACTAGAGATACAGTTCCCCGCCTCCTTATGAAAAAATATTCAAAGAAACACTGAAGATGGTAATGAAAAACCTGTAGTTTTCAAATCCACCGAAACTGCTCAAATTTAGTGGTAGAAAAGAAAATACTTTAAAAAAATGATCACAGCAGTTGGAGTGGCAGAAATGCCCAGGATCCTTCAGATCTCACATGGACTGTCACAGGCCACTTCTGGTCAAATTAATTCGATAGTCCTGAAAGCCCCAAACATTCATCATCTGATAATGACTTTCTTCCCTTTCTTCTAGGAAATAAACGGGATTTACACATTTTACCAATTGTCTATTGTGCTTAAGTAATATATTGCAAAAAAAGAAAATATGTAATTAGTGTCCAAATCCCTGTGGCAGTCTCTGTCTAGAGACTGTATTCGTTTCTCTAATGTTTCAATTTGAAAAATAAAGAGGACATCAGTCCTGCCTCAAATGAGGTCACAGGGTTATGACTGGATGTCAACATGGCCACCATTTTTGGCCCACATTGAAGTAAAAAGAGGTCAGAATACCTTGTCCCTTTGCTTTGCTAACAGGGCTTAGCAGTGTGTTGTCTGCAGCCAAGAAAGTAGGATTCTGAAATCATGGATTTCCAGAATACTGTTAAAAAGTTTATCTTAGCCACAGAAAAAAGGAGGGACAGATATACCTGCTGGTCACAGACCTATAGGTCTTTGTCCATCAGTATGCTGATACTCCAGCTTATTCAAAATAAAAACTAGGCCTGATCACACTAAAAAGTCATTCTTGATTTGGCAATGTTCTAAAACACACTCTCACTTCTTGATAAACCTCATATTGAATGAAAATGACCCTTTTCTGAAAATAAGGTATTACAAGTTTCACTCTTAATTGGCAATGAATACAAGGTCCAAACTTACTTATCGGTAGGTTCACCTTTGGCTAGTTGTTCGGCACAAGCAACAGCTCCTTTGTGAAGCCAGCAATATGTGTCCACGGCTACTACCTGCCCCTTATACTTCCTCACGTGGACGGGTTCAGAAGCTTCTTTGATAAATTGCAGTAATCCGTGTATCCCCATTGTGGCAAGTTAACTACATGATATGAGAGGAGAAAGGAAAAATAGCAATATTTAAAGCAAAATATATTTACTCAAAAGTTTTAGAAAAATAATTTTTAAAAAAGCTTGGAAACTGATATAGTATCTGTTACTGTTTAGATATTTTAGAATCAATGCTCTTCAATATTTTAACTGGGCTCCTCCGTCAAATAATTCGTCTAGAATTTTTATAATAACCCCTAATCCTATCTCTAATGTCACTTATTTTCCTTAATGTTTATTCTTTCCCAAGTACTCTCCCACTTGGAATCATGTGTGCTCCAAGCCCTCAACAGAGTACTAGGAACACAGAGGTGCTAAAAAATTATGAGCCTCTCTTCTCTACAAAATTGTGCATGGTATGGCATCACATTCCCTCTAAACAGGCATTATAAGAACCAATATGCAAATCAGCGTAGGAGTGGAAACTCAAAACTTTGTAGGAAGGTAGGCAATTCAACTGAAAAATAGAATAAATGCTTCAGAACAAATGCTTTAACTTCTCACCCACTTCCGTCCAGGTTGCAACCCCTAAGCCCTTTCTGTATAGAAATTGTGGCGCTGTCACAGTCCTTCCCCAAGCAACCACTCCCCACAACTACCCACAAGGAAAAGTGAAAGACAGCAGTGGGCACTGTGCAGTTGCCTGGCATTTCGTAACAAATCTCTCCCACCAAACATTAAGTTTGGGAGAAAGGGAAGAAAGGAAGCCCAGGAGCAGAGGTCAACCTCACCCGTTGAGCAAGCTCTGATGTTCTAGTCCAGCAGTTGTCGAATTTCAGCAGTTCGCAGGTTCAACTCCACTTCTACATACCGTAATTTACTAGCTGTGGAGCTTGGTGGAGGATTCTGAATTTTAAACACGGCAGGTACTTTGGATGCAGGTGGTCCCCAAGCCACAGTATGAGAACAATTAGTCTCTTAAAGAGTTTCTTTTCACACTGAGGAAAACTGACATAGTATACATTTGAGGAAACATGTTTCTTCTAAGCTAGGTAAATATCCTCGAATAAATATTTCCTCGTGAGCACAGTAAGAATGACTGAGTGCCACGTGGCACACAGCATCTCAAGGAGACCGCCTGAGGCAACAACTTCATTACCCTCCCTCCCTATTCCTCCATCTCATACGGGTGTGCAGGAGCGAGGAGCGGCCCGCAAGCCCATTCCAGAAGACACGTTTCCTTTGGCCTGCATTAAAAAGAAAAAAAAAAAAATTTACTTGTCAACATTTAAAAGCTTGGAGATTGAATGTGAAAACTGTACTGATAGCTTCTGCAGTGAAATAAGAGGGGTCCGACAACCGGATGCCAGGTCCGGCCAGAAAACGTCTGCAAGGAGCACAGACTTTCCCGCGGTTCACGGACTGCAGCCCTAGCCTGGCCAACTATGTTCCCTCGGGACCAAATACACTCCCACACCACTGACTCCACTCGGGCAGCGCCCCCGCCACGCTCCTCGGGACTCTGCTGCAGGGTGTGGAAGACCACGTCAGACCCTCCCCTTCCCTTCCTGAGACCCGGAATCCCGAGCCCGGAACGGGGGGACGCGCAGATCGACCCCGCGGGGACCGGCAGGAACTCACCTAGTCTCCGCGCGGCCTGCTCCGCTCACTTTTCGGGAAGGGCAGCCTGGTAGGGGCTCCGAAACCCGTCTCCAACGCCCCCGACTCTCATGGGGAAGCGGGAGCAGCGGAACTTAGAGGGCTCGAAGAGACACACCTTTCAATTTGCGCGGGATGGCCCGCAGCCCGCCCAGCGGAAGTGACGTCAGAGTGCCGCTCCGCGACGCCGGCTCCGCTTCCGGCGGCCTCTCCGAGCATCATCCTCGGCGGATGCGACTGCGGCCCACACTGCCCTGCGACTCCGAGCGCGGCTGCCCGCCGCAACCTCTTGCGGCCTTTTGAAGGGGCGCGGGGAGCTGGAACTGATGGCCCAATAGGAACGGCAGCCGGGAAGTTGAGCGTTTTCTCTCTCGCCGGGGCTGCTGGGAGTTGTAGTTCTTACCTGACTGCAGCCTCAGTTCCGAGCTGCTGAAGTTCAAAGGGCGCCGCCGCCTGAATGTGTTGAAGTTTTTAAAACCTAAAAAAGGACTGCAGGGAAACGAGAGATTCAGCTTGAGTTACAGTATTCTTTGAACCCTTCCGGTAGACTTTGGGAAAGGAAAGAGAGGGCGATTAGTAAATAATCTGGGAAGTGACAAAGATTCTCTCCTTGACCGATCTCTAGCCAGGCTCCTCTGAGCCCTCTTCTCAGCTAAGCTTGAACCTTGGCCTACAAAGAAAGACTTGAATGAACGCTAACACAGCTCCAGGACACAGCCCCATGGGGCCAATCCAGCCCCGCTTAAAGTGCCTTTCTGAGAAAAGGTTGCCAAAAGAATTCCCAGCCAACATCTGAAGTTAGGGCCCGTCTCCCAGCTTCTGTAGGAGCGTAGGAGCCTAAGTCCCATAAGCACCGCTTAGCAGTAGCAGGAGAATTTTACTAGGTCTTACTTCCCAATTTTGGTAACCTTTCACTTCCTTGACTCTACTGAACCCCATTCACACCTGCTTCCCATTCCCTCATTTTCTCTGTAAACCACACAGTCATCTGTGCAAATCGCGTTGAGTTAAGCTTGTGCTGGACTCGTTCTTTTATAATAGAATTACTGACTAAAATCTGTCCTCGCCACTTTACCTAGTGTCCAGCTTTGTGGTCTTAGGAAGAAACTCAGACATTAAGAAGGTGCCCATTGCAGCCACATTTGAGTCCATCATGAAACTAACATAAGAGGGATGCACTACAATTTGTCTGTCAAGGTTCCGGAATGGATTCTCGGCTGCAGTGTTTGAAGATTGAACCGAAAAAAGAAAACAGTTAAAAGGAATTTCACGGAACAAAAAGATTTTACTCTTTGGGAGGATAAAGCCATTTGAATTAATTCATGTTGTAATTTACTATATGCCTTTACTACAGTACCTGTAGGTACTAGGTGGTATGGGGAACACAAAGAAATGGTTCCTGTCTCCAAGCAATTTTGGATCTAGTTCTGCAGGCAAAACATGTATTCATCGAAAGTTAAATCACAAATCATGATTGTGTGTTATTACAATCTGAAATGAGTGATATGGCCCATACATTCTCAGCTTGACTCAATTCCAGTGTTGATAGGTCTCAGAAGTCTTCCCTGACATACTCCCAAACACCCTTTGATGACCTTTGCCCTGACACTTATCATATTATTTTAATTGACTTTGTCCCCTAAATTTAGCAAATTACAACACAGGCCCAGTTAAATTTGAATTTCAGATCAACAGATAGTTTTTCGTGTGTAAGTATGTCTAATGTGATATTTGGGACTAAAGAAAATCTGTTTATCTGGAATTCAGTTTAACTGGACATTCTGGTTTTTTGTTTTTGTTTTTGTTTTTGTTTTTAATCTGTCTTATTGAAAGACCACACACTCTGATTTTTAATTTGGAAAATACTGCCTCCATTGTTATGGAGCAGTGTTTTCTAAAATGTAGAACAGGGAGATGATTGGGGATCCTAGATTCAGTGATCCTTAGGGGGCGCCTCTGGGATGCCTTCCTACCTTTGCCTGATTTCCAGAAGCACTGCTGTAGCCACAGGTGAGCAGCCCCTTCTCTCATACCTGTATGCATACCAGCACTTTTCAAGAAGAAATGGGGGGGTGGGGGGGTTCTTTTCATTTGGCAGAATGGGAAGGCCTTTTCTCAGAGATCAATTTCCCCCCAAGCCAGGGAGACACAAAATTGGGAATGAACTCAAGTGCTGGGCCAGTTAATATCCTTTTGTCATAGAGTTGTGAGGTCTGTGTGTTCACTTTCACTTTGTTCCTCTCTTGTACTCAATATGAATAATGTTAAAAATGGAAGCTTAAAGCATAAAAGTGAAGATGATGATGGAAAAGCGGTGGTGATTGTTATGTAGACATGGAACAGAATGCTCCTTTTTTCTGACTGATCATTAATGGCTCTAGTTTTCTAATAGAGGAACTTATTTTTAGGTGTTCACTTTTGCAGCTCGGTTAGATTGATTTTTATTTACATTTAATTGTTTTTACATTTTTTAATTATTTTAATCGAATGACTTGTTTTCAAAATATTTTTACAATTACTTCTATTATGGCAAGTGATACCTGTAGTGTTAATATGAAATTTGCTTTTTAAGTAAGTTAAAAATGAGTCAATTTAAAGAAAACCTATTAAGTAGATGATAGGGCAGGTGTTTTTAATTCATGGCAAATATGATTAAATGAAGTTTCCAAAACAGTCATTTCTCTCATCTTTAAAATGACCCTTGGCTATTGTCCTATTTCTCAGCTCCTCTTACAGTAAAATTTCTTGGAAGAATTGTCTATACTTGCTAACTCAAATTCTTCCATTCACTATTGTATATATTTTCTTTTCAAAAATTGATATATAACCTATGTACAGAAAGGTGCACAAATGCTAAGTGAATATCACAAAATGAACACACCATATTATTTCCTCTCAGCCCTCCCAGAAAACCCTTTGGACTGCCTTTCAAATAAAAAAAATTTTTTTTTCTTTATCAAAGATACTATAATCTGTCTTCCAACTGCAAAACTGTATTAGTTTTGCCTTGTTTGTAAAGTTTATATAAATGGAATCATGCAATTTTTATTATTTAGCACTTGACCTTTTTTCCTAACGTATTTGTAAGATTCACCCATGTTATTGAGAAAAACCGCAGTCTTTCTTCTTTTCGTGTCTATGTAAAATTGCATTGTATAACTATGTTACAATTACGCATTCTGCTATTGATAGATACCCTGTTGTTTCCAGGTTTTGGCTATTGCTAATAATGCTTCCGTGAACATTCTCGTGACTTCTTGTACATGTTACTTCAAAATGCTCCTACTCTTGCTCTTCTTCACTCCACTTTAGCCATATCTCGAATATTCCAGCTACATTCCCACCCTGAGGACTTTGCATATGCTGTTCCTTCTTCCTAAAATACCTTTCCACTAGATATCCACAGTTCACTTCTTCATTTCTCTCAGGCCTTTGCTGATAGGTTCTCTCTCAATGAGCTTCAAATAATATAGCTATTTGCAAATCTGTTTCACAATCAAATTAAACAAAAAAGTTATCAATATGTGTATTATTTGAACAATCTAAGACATAGGTTTCAGAAAGAATAAATGTTTGTTCTAATTCCCTATTATGGAGGAAATATTATTTTAAACAAGCCTCTCTTTTTTCCTTTGGAAAAAAACTGTAATTCATTTATACAAAATGATAGTTCTAAAAAATAATATAGCTAGCTCTAAAATATACATTTTAGAGAAATTGGCATAGATATTTGACAAAACTCTTTTAGAGGATTGACTAACATTCATTCTCTATCTATGGAAAACATTTTACTGGGAGTCCTGAATTACAGCACTTAAGAAGCAGTCAGTAGTTTCAGGTTTGTTTTACCTGCTTAACTTGTTTAATACCCATAACAGTACTAAGAGGTTGGTAAACTTATTATCTGAACCAAAGGTCGTTTGGCTCTAGGTTCTGTGCTTTTGACCATCACTTTTGATGGCCACTATGTATAGAGAGATATCACGTTAATGTTTTCAAAGTTATCAATTTACTGATCTCCTTCAGGATTGTTTCTTTTTTTGACATGTTTTGGGAGGAAGAAAGGAAAGGAACAACTTTTGTTTAGAATCTACTGTATTTTTATGTATTCTCATTTAATCCTCAAAATAGCTTTGGAAGATAACTATTAATACCCCATTTACAGAAGACTGAAGCACAGAGAAGTATCATATCCTAAAGATATTATGTGATGTGAATCAAATGTGATTCAGAACTAGGTCTGCCTCACTCCAGAGTCCTGTATTCTTTATGATGACACAGGAGAACTGATGTGACCCAGTGAACAGTGGAGGTCCAGGGGAACTGTACATAGTTCTAGCCGGGAACAGGCAATGAGGGGCTGTGGAAACAGGAAGACAGTGGGCACAATTTCAGCAAGAATTTCTAGGTCTTCAGATGTCTTTTTCTGATCCTGAACCTCAAAGCTACATTCCCAGGTGAGTGCTAGGTGAATGGCTGGGACAGGGCACAGGGCCTCTGCGACCACAGCCAGGCTCCCTTCATTCTTGCATGAGACCTTTCATACACCACACGTCTTGGGCCCAGCGCCTCAGACCCAGGAAGCCCCTCCTCCTTTTGGAGCAGCGATGGCCCTTCCAACGATTGTTACTAGAATTTCTTTAATGGCCCAATGTTATTCCTTCATCTCAATGCTTTGACTTTTTGTTTTCGTTTTGCTTTGGAAAAATTTAAAAATACAAAAGATTCAAAGAACGCTATCCATTTTTCTGGTGAGCTTGGAATCAGTCACACCATAGGCACAAAATGGATATCACCTTTTTGACTTTAGTGGGAAAGTGTGACTTGCAATAGGATATTAGCCGATGGAGGACATTCATTCACCAGATAGCTAGAAGGGACATTTCTATTGAAAAAGTCAGTGAAATATAACCTGAAACAATGAAACAGACATCAATACATCAATAGTGTGAGAAAAAAACAAACCAGTAACAGACTGCTTAGTGAGGAGAAATACAAGATGGAGAGGCTCATCTTGAACAAAGGAGTCGCATCGATTAGAAGAGGGGTCCTTATGTGGTGAGAGCCAGATTCTGCATGGAGCAGCTGCTCTCAGAATAAAAGAGTAATGAATTCCTGTCCACTTATTGGTCTTTCAGCCTCCAGGGAACTTACTCAGCCAGCAGTTCTATTTTCAGAAGCAGAGGGTAAATGCATGCT